TGTTCCTCACATATTTAGAAGGTTTAAGTCGTCCTTAAGATCCTTAAAGTTCCTTAAGATCCTTAAAGGATCCCTTAAGATAGTGGTGCACTGTTGCATGCATGCTGATGTACATTGAGGGGAATTTACTAAGACTGGAGTGAAAAAAATCTGGAGCAGCTGTGTATTGCGACCACTCTAGCTTTCATTTTGAAAGCTTTCAGAACTTAACTGAACAAAACAAAAAGAGAAGCTGATTGGTTACTATGGTCTGCTCCAGTTTCGAGAAATTCCCCACAAATAGAACCAAAGCAGACCAAAGAGCAGTTGGCCATAGTAACCAATCAGCTCCTCTTTTCATTTTGTTCAGTAAAGCTTTGACAATGAAAGATAGAAGCTGATTGGTTACCATGCACAGCTGCTCCAGATTCTGTCTGCTCCAGTTTTGATAAATGCCTCTCAATGCACATCAACGTGTATGCAACAGTGCACCACAATTTTTATTTAAAAGCTCATTCCGGGCTAATGAGTTAAGAAAAATGCTTCCACAGCTTGGAATAGAAAAACGATGCAGCTCAGACTGCAACACTGATCTCCTCCCCAACACTGTTCTCTGTAGTAGTTTATTTTTTTGCCACAAGGTGTCCTTAATTTCTCGCTTATTTAACAGTAGACTGAGGGCATACTGTGAGTTCAGAGCATTATGGGAAGTGTCACTATGTCTGCATTCACAGTATAATGATGCAGAAGGTGGTGCAGTCATCACCTCAGCTCCCAACCCCCTCCCCCTCCCCCCGCATTATTGAGGACCACCCACCCATAGACTTGAAGATCAGGAGATGAAGAGGGCCTTCCATCTCATGTATACCGCTTGAAGATATCTGCAAAAAGAAAGTATAGGAATATGAAGCATACAATACTATACTTTCCATTAATTCCTATGGAAAGGTTGTCTATTATGCCTCTATAGGAATTAATGGAATTGTATTTGCACATGCACAGAAATAGGTGCTCTTCTGGTACATGTTGTTGGTTGTTTTTCACTATATGCAAGCCTGATACAAATGTTGCCCACCACCCTGAGCTCTGAGTGGGTACTCACCCATGCTTATGGTTTATGGTGTGCTAGGACAGTATTGTTGTAAGTGCCTGCTGCACATATTGCAGTGTTATGACCAGTGTAGAGAAGATTGGTGCTAATAGTGACCGCCATAGGTGGCAGCATGCAGAACCTCAAAGATGTGAAGATGGGTCACCAGCCCTCTAAAATGCAAGATAAATATTGTTTATTGCAAATAATGTCACATAGGCCAAAATGGCCAATGTTTCAGGGCCGCGCAGGGGTCACAACATGACAAAGTATGTAAAATCTCATGGGACCACAGTCTAAAATGTAAAAAAACAAAAATGTAGAAAATAACTTAGGGTCCCGCCAAAATCTATGCTTGACCCTTATCTTAGATTCCGGTCTAGTATGGATTTTAAGGGGGGACCCCACGCAAAAAACCTGGACTAGGATTTCTCCCTTTCACATCACAAGCCTCCCACACATCAGAAGCCCCCCTTCATATCGGAGTCCTTTTTGCAGCAGCATGGCGGATTGCAGGAGATGGAGTAGGTCTGGGTGGAGGTGGACTTCTGTCCTCTTCTGAATTCTAGGGAAAGTCCAGGATGCACCCCATCTTGGTTTCGCATCATGCATTTCCATTGTTCTAGTGACTGTCTCGCCGGCACCCTAGGGTGTCATGGCACCCTGGTTGAGAAAAGCTATGCTAGAAAATGTACAGCAAGTGTGGCTGTTGGATAGTGTTTTCATGTCCTGAAACTGATTTACAATTCTTCGGTAAATACATTCGCTGTTTCAGGCCTACAACGTTAGTTGATTGTAGATTCATCCTTTAAGCTGTGAGCACTGATCTACACAACTTGCTTCGTCCTTTCTCTTCAAGAAGGAATACTGTCAACACTACTTGTATGACAACATTTATCTTGAATAGCAGCGCTCTTATGAGGAGAGCGCATCTTTCCGAAGTCTCCCCGGAGATGAGAAATAAGTAATTATTTCTACAACAAAGCTCAGCAGCTATTGTAACGTGACGTTCCATACACATCCATGACATTCCGTCATACATCACTGGTTTATGTTGCCGCAGTAAAACAGCACATCCCTTGTGTTTGCACAAGTGTAGAAGTGATTAAGCTTGGAGTATCTGTCACAGACACCTCAGAGTTATTGGTCAGGTATAGCGTGCGACAGCTGAAGCATTAATATAGTAAGCTTAGGTTACGCCACCAGAGCCTAGCTCGTAATCCCCTTTCCTTTCCCACAGACGTTGTAATATTACTGGAACACGTTTCTTTGGCTCTTTGTCTGTGTCTACTGTTTTTGGGCTTACTCCTATGTATCTGGAGTGAAGGATTTGGAATACACAGGCATCTGCTAGGCTTAAATTCCCATTGGAGGAGCAAGTGTGCGCAGGTTGAGTTTGTCCGGCTTTTCCGCTTGCTTTTTTTTATTCCTGCTCCAGCACATCAGTTTTGTAGCAGCGGCAGGCTGAAGTGTCTCATTATACCAGCCCTTCCAGCACCATCAAGAGCTCTGAAAATGTTCCCAGGGCTTGAGCAGAATACAATTTGGAAAGAGAATATGGATGGAGGTTTCTTTTGTGCTAGTGTACCGCTTGCCATCCAGCTGCAGACAATGCTAAAAAGGCTGGAACTGCCACCGTTGCTGGCCGTAGGTACAATTCTCAAAGCTTTACACAAGCACACGGATCTTAATTTTCAGCCACGTGACTGTCATTTTAAAATCTTATTGGATTCTGATTTCAGATAAAAATAACAGTCATGAAATAAGGATCCTTATCCTATTGTATTAGCTTTGTAAATTGAGCCTTATGTCTTGAATATTTACTGATAGGTCTTAAAGTACCTTAACTAAAAAAAAAAAAACATGTACCTTATTTGTGTATCACTGTGTATCTGAATTGGTGCCGACACTGTCCTTCCTTCTCTTCTTGGCATGATGACATCACACAAATCAATTGCAAAAACACTACCACACACTTGATATCCAAGGTTTGAAGTGACACTAAACACAGAAGTTACATCTTAAAAATGCATTCAAGTACCTTAACTATTAACAAAAATGTATCTTATTTGTGTATCACTCGGCTGTAGATCCTCAAATCATCTCTGAATTGGTGCCGACACTGTCCTTCCTTCTGGAGGGGGGATACTTTTTTTCCCCATGGTCCCTGTGTGTGTTGTAAAGTAGCCACTGCTTTAAACCCACTTCCGTGATGGACTACAATCTCAATACAATTTAGTAAACTAAACATGAGATTGTAGTCCATGGGAGTGAGTTTGGAGCGGTGACTACTTTACAACACACACAGGGACCATGGGGAAAAAAAGTATCCCCCCTCCAGAAGGAAGGACAGTGTCGGCACCAATTCAGAGATGATTTGAGGATCTACAGCCGAGTGATACACAAATAAGATACATTTTTGTTAATAAGTAAGGTACTTGAATGTATGTTTAGGATTTACCTCATGATTATAGCATCACTTTAACCAGAGGTATCCACCCATTATGGAGTTAGAAGAACCAAATGATGGTGAATTAAAAATAAATAAATAAATTGCTGTTAGAGTAGGTTAATAAATATATAAACTCCAGGCTAAATAAATATTGAATACTAAAAACAGAAAAATAATCAATGCAAGAGGTCTAAATACAAGATACATGTGTATTCATACGTGAGTCTTGTTGTCTTTTGTGTATTTCTTCCAGATCTGTGCAGTAACCCAGCATGAAACAACTCCTTCAAAGTGCAGGAGTTGTTTCATGCTGGATTACTGCACAGATCTGGAAGAAAGCTCCTGCACAGGTACAAAGTATACCTGTGCAGGAGCTTCCAGAAATAAAGATTACTCACTGCTGCTCTCTCTTTCTCCTTGTGTAGGGTGACTGGTCTTGTATCCGCCCCCTCCTGTAGTTTTCTGCAGGCAGTCTGTAGTGAGGGGGCTGCTGGGCCCCTCCCACAGCTTCACTCCCTGCACAGGCAATGTGCAGCATAGTAATGATGTCACCACTACTTTGACACGGTAGCATCTGGGCATGCAAAGGCATTTGGTGCACACAAAGTGGATTGCTATCCTTTGCAGCTATTGTGGAGACAATTTAAAAGAAATTTGTTTTGTGCCCAGAGTTCAGCTTTAACTATACAGACTGAGCCAGTGAGGACGATAACCAAGTAATTCAAACCAATCACATGTTTCCACATTTCAGTATTGTCAGTTGATATGTTGGTGGTTGGAGTTTACATTGTCAGTAACTCTGGCTGGATTCCATAGTTTGATTGCACAAAAACCACAGCATACATCTCACTACTTGTAGCTGCCTTGTGTCTATTTTTGCCATTTTAATATAAAGAAAATATGATCAAATTCCTATTATGTTCTTCCGGCTGTTCTGCTTCCAGCTATCCATATGAAAAATTAAATTATTGACATGTCTTGAAGGCATACTGGTAGCTAATAGGACTGGTGATATTGATGATTTTTGACAATACGCAAAGAGGGTCTTAAATTGAACAAAGGTTCAATATTGTAACAAAGGTTAAAATATTGATATGATGTATGTAATTGCTACATAAGCCAGTTCATAGTTACATGTCATTAAAAATTGCCTTTACATTTGAATCTACAGCCAGCTACAATTTTCTTAAAGCTGTAGACTGTAATACCATGTTGTACTTGTAGGTGGTGCTGTGGCTGACATGTACAACTGCAGCTCATGGTCTTGGCAGAATGGTGTTTCTCTTGGTTAGATCATTAATATTAATAAACCTGAGTTTATTTTAGAGTGTAGTTTTCCTAAAATTGTAATAGATCTATGATATATGACCATTGTATCTACCACTTTTGCAAACTAATAGTACTGACATTCTCCTGTAATGTGTTTTTTTACAAGCATGTGTATTAATTTCAGCACGCTGTTGTGTCTCTGTTTTCTAGGCATCATATACACTGCAGATGTCCTGGATAAGGAAACCACCGACTCGTACTGGCTCACCATTTATGCCACAGACCGAGGTGTTGTGCCACTCTTCTGTACCATAGAGGTTTACATCGAAGTAGAAGATGTTAATGATAACGCTCCTCTGACTACCCAGCCCATCTACTATCCCAGTGTCATGGAGAATTCACCAAAAGACGTGTCTGTGCTGCAGGTTCAGGCTGTGGACCCAGATTCTAACACCAGCGATAAACTGACCTACAGGATCACCAGTGGGAACCCCCAGAACTTCTTTGCAATCAATGCTAAAACAGGTACAAAATCAAATCCTTTATTTAAACTTCACCATTCAGGAGTAGAAACATTATAAGGTGGTTACAGGACAACAGTACAGCAAGTTAATAGTGCCATCACGCACCTTCAAAACCTCTTGAGCTCTTCTGGAGTCCTGGCATGTTCTAGTATGTGAATACCAACATTTTGAAGCAGTGCCAACAGCTGGTGTGCCCAACGTTCAACTTTTTTAATGGCCCATCACTAGTATGGTAGCTCTGGTGGCCAATAGGCAGGTGCAAAGGTATTCAGGTTATCTGTTAACACTGCCAGGGTGTGTCAATGTTTGCATATTAAAGTGCCGCAGCTCTGGGGGTAAGTTGAACAGAAGAAGTTTTATATATTTTTTATTTGTATTTAAAAATAAAAAAGTATTCCAAAGAAGTACCCTAGACTTTCATCTACATCCATGGTCAGGAGAGACCTTACAGTCTCCTGCAAATGAATTTGGGAGAGAGGAAGACAATTAAAGCAAACACATTATGCTATACAAAAACCTCATAACAAAAATGTAGTATATTGCAGCTTAGTCCTTTGATGTGATGTTTGCATCAGTTTTCTTTTTTTAGAAGTTTCTTTTTTTCCCCTCTTTAAAAAAAATAAGTCCTAGGTTGGCTACACTCAATCCACTTTATCTATGGAGAAGCAACATTGTCACCCTTGGCTGCTCCTCTGATTTGGACTACAAATGTGTCCTCCTCTCCATTTCCATTACATTAGGGGAGCTAATGGGGGATTTTTAGTTTATAGAATATATTTTAGTAGACAGATGATATTGTTTAGAGTTTATTCAAGAGGAAGTTCCAAGGATACTACATTTCTGGCAAGATTAACAGATATTTGATGTACTTAAAACATTTAATTGGCTTGAAAAAAGGAAAAACAATTTTCAAAGGCTGGCAAAAATGTCTGTGCATCTTATGGAGTGAATGTGTGAGAGCTGAGGCGGCAGGGCTGACAGTGTACCCAGGGGTGTGGAATCCCTATCACTCGGGCAGTTTCGGGCGCCAGGCGAGTAGTTTTTTTGTACATTTAGCCCTGCTCCAGACAAGCAGAGCTAAATGTGTAGTGTGGAGCCGCCACTCATTTCATACAAGTGATCTATTTAGATCACTTGTATGAAAGGAGCAGCGGCGATCCTGTTGCCCCCCCGCCGCGGTTTTTGGGATCCCCCGCTTCGCTGGGGGACCCGTGACCATAGCATAGAAGCTCACCATAGAGCCCGTAGAGCAGACGAAGAACATTCGTTCTCCGTCTGCTCTGTGTGATCACTGAGACCGTGGCGCTGTAATCACAGCGCCACCTGTCTCAGCTGTGAGGAACTACACAGTACCCTACCTTCCCTAGGTAGCAGCTTCTTATGGTCAGGTGCGTGAAATACATACTTATACATACTATATACACTTTACAAGGAGCTTGCTTAGCTGTCCTGTAGCCAGCTTATGTTTCTATTACTGTGTTTTAAAGAATATACTGTATATACTCTTTGATGGAAGACCTAAAAGGTTTTGAAGGTACCAACAGTGCTGAAGTGAAGCACCTTGAGGTTGAGTGGCTGGTGGATCTTCAAGCACTTCTGTTAGTCTTCTTCTTGATTCTCCACTGTTGGCTGTATGAATTATAAATAGTCTTGATTTGACCTAAAAGGTTTTTAAGGTAGAAAAAGTGAGGCACCTTGAGGTTAGGTGGGTGGCGGATCTGCAATCACTTCGGTTAGTCTTCCTTATTATTCTCTACTGTTGGCTGTATTTATTAAAAATAGTCCTGACCTAAAAAGTTTTTTTAAAGTATTAAAAATGAAGCACCTTGAGGTCAGGTAGGTGGGGGATATAAAATCACGTCTTTAAATGGTTCCTTTTTTGTAGCTCCTTGCATCGTAGGCCCAGACTTTACAGAGGCCTTTGACTTTTCTCAAGTCAAGATTAAGCGCATTTCCTTTCAGCACCAAGTCCCAACCTTTCTTATTCAACTGTCAAATGCCAGAAGTTCAATTGGCAGTGGATACTCTGGGATTTGCCAGCAGAATGACCCAGGGCTTGGGGTTTGGCACAAGGAAGGGATGATGCTTAATCCCAACGTTTGCAAAAGTTGTGGTCCTGTGTATAGCTTGAGTATTGGGTTCAAGGGTGGTTGAAGATGAAGGGTTTGTTTACACCAACTGGGGCTCATTATGCTCTATATAATGCACCCCCGTTTGCGTGAATTGTGTAGGGTCATTGTGATGTCTTGTTACAACGTTGTTACCTATCACAATGCTACACAATGTCTACAAAATGTCTACAGAATGACATTTAATTCAACTCTGTGTCTCTTGGTGACATGCTGTGTGGTGCGGAGAGTTGTGCTGCGTAAAAATGCATACCTGCTGCATGTGTGCACCCCACCGCACATGTATGGCGTGAACAGGACACATAGAGTACAATTGGTGTATACAATACAATTGATGTGCCGTTGTCTTGTCTTCATTGATCTTTGCAGATCAACAGCTTAACGCCTATTGTGTGGAAAAGTCCTAAAAGAAGTACCTGTGGGCACTATAAGCTACAGCACTTCAGCACGGTTTATTTTGGAATATTTGAGCCCAGATCAGATTCACATTACCAAGTAAAAGCAATGTTCAAATTTCTACAGTCTACAACACAATGACCTTGCTTTGTGTGCTAGACTTGTTTAATGCCCTGCCACTCCACGGACATCATTAGGTCAGTTTTGTAGAAGATTCAGATCAGCATCTTTCAGGAGCTGCAGTTCCATTTTACTAGCTAGCAGCTGGCAAGGAATGCTGGGGCTAACAGTTCTTTTGTAGGTGAATGCTTTGCAATGCCGGCGTGAAAAAAAAAAAAAAACCCCAGCATACAGCAGCAGGAAGTAGGTCACAGGTTTAAGGCAGCAATCCTTCCACACTGTTATTTTACCTCCACCTCTAAGTGATTGCTCCACTGTGGGGAGTCCTTTTGTTCATTTCGTGTGGCGTCAGAGGCTTTGAAATAACAAGACAAGTCGGTCTTTCTCCCAGCAGTGTCCAGTTAGGTACATGTTTCATACATCTTTTACCGCCAATCCCCGCTGTGCCTTCGGTAATCACTATCCACATTAAACCTTCCACTTTTTTTGTGTGTGTGAAATAACGAAAATATGCCCGCTAAAGATGTCCAGACATTCCTTTCTTATACGCTGTGATTTTGCCGCTTTAACTTGACAGGTCGATAAGAAAAAAAAAGAAAAGAAATAAGTACAGAGTGTTCCAGACGCACAATACTTTGGTTCTTTACATTAAATAAATGTATTTACTGCTGTTTAAATGATAGTGTATGGCAAAGGAACAGTTTGCAGCTTAAAAGGTTCAGAATTGGCATTTGTTATATTACAGGGTTTTTCTTTTTCACTTGTGAATGTAGCAATCCTATCACAAACCTTTTAATACATAAAGATACAGGTTAATTATAAAGGTCATTTAGGTATGGAGACATTAAGACCAACCAGGAACTTTTTCTGATTGTTGGTGGGCAGGCAGTTCACGCAGAGCTGCCTTCATGCGTGAGCCATTGGATCACTAAAGATTGCTTTGACTGAATCCTTATATCTCACTTTCTAGCAATACATCAGTATAGATGTTGTAGTGATTATCTTTTTTAGGTTTAAGGGCCTATTCACACCTTTCTGTTCCATTGCGGTAGAATAATACAAATGTGCTATGCTGCATGTTAATGTGTTTTGCGTTACAGAAGAACTCTGGGCAAACTTTGTATTAACCTTTGCAGTGGGGCCTGACATGTCTATGTTATTATTAATCATCATATATAGAGGGATGCATTGGTAGAATTTGATTTTTGAATGTAAAGGTCCACTTTAGGTGTGTTGGTCATATAGTGAATTTTCCATGTGCATGTAAAAAGTATTGAAACCCTTCAATAGAGCGAATTAATAATTGAACATGAACTGTGAACAAAGCACAACATTGCTGTGTCCACTGCCTCATAAAAAAAAAAGTGTATCCACAGTATCCACAGCCTGAAAAGCCTCCCTATAACATAAAAAGTTTTCTCCATCCATTGTGTATTACCAGATAGTATAATCTGATGCGGCTGCACACTCTGTTTTATGCCGGAGTTGTGAATGTTGTCCAGGGGAATTAATAATGTATGTTATTGTGCGCTCAGAAAACTCCAGGTCCAGATGACCGTGTCGGGTGAGGCAGAGGGCATCTTCTATCTCCTGCTTTTATGCAGAATACTTGTTACTAATTACTGTAACATTGACGAGCCATTAATTCTGCAACATGCAATCTGGGGCACTAGAGTGCCATAGAGGCACGGCATTTTTGGAGCTTATTATATAAACAGGCAAATTAAACTGAAAACCCAGTTAATGAGCATTTTTTTTCTTCTTCTTCTTCAGTGCCTGGTAGTGCCATTTCCCTGGCTGAGCCCAGGAGAGTGCTGCTGTTTGCAAAGTTGAAATTATACCCCAACGCCGTTGTAGGGTAAATAAATGATATGTTGGTTATAAACAGAGATTAGAACAGACCGTTGATTACAATTAAAGGAGACATATGGATATAAATAGGTTTCATTTCACAGAGAAGCAAAACTTATTAAAATGTGTCTGCTTAAAGCGGAGCTCTAACCTAATAGCTGATTATACAGTTGACATACACATTTTTGTATCTCTTGCAAAGTATCTGTGACCCTGATTGGACAGTTTTGGTCACCAAATGGCCAGTAGGAGGACACAACGTTCTCTAACACAGTTAAAGTGTATGTAAAGCTAAAACATTTTTCTAGTATTGGACATAGTTGGCCTGTTTTTTTTTTTTTCCCCGTCTGTGTACTATCGGGGAGATTTCCCTTCACTTCATGTCCCAGAGACAGAACAAAAAGAGAAATTGTCTCCAAAACAAGAAGACGTACTCTCGTAGACAGAGGAACAAGTGCCCTAATTTCCCCTCTTCTCCTAATCCATAACTTTTAAATGTTTTGAT